GACGCATGCATGCTCCGAACCGAGACAAGCGAACCGAACGGTTCGGTTTTTTTTCATGAACCGTGCCATCCCTACTGTCCACTGCTAAAAGTGCCTGAAATGGGCATGTGAGCATCAGAACTGGACCATGGAGCAATGGAAGAAGTTGGACTGGTCTGATGAGTCACGTTTTCTGTTACATCATCAGGATGCACTATGAGAAGAAGGCAAGCAGGTGGAGGCAGTGCGATGCTTTGGCCAGTGTTCTGCTGGGAAACCTTTCATTTCCCAAAAGACTTATTGCACGACTGCACTGTCATGTTCTTTTGCACAAAAAAATATTACATAAAAATAAGTCTTCCCATTTACAGTATGTACACGGGATTAGCTACAATCATCAAGAACAGTTTTTAGGAAGCAAAGGATTTTTAATAAGAATTCTTAGGCATCTTTTGAAAGAGTAGGTGTGTTGCCCTGATGCCCTGGCTAAACTGCCCACTGTGGCACATTCAAATCTGGCCCCCTAATCATCCCCTGTATCTAACTGGTGAATTCTCTCCTGCCCCTTCACCACCGTAACTACTATGTGGGGAGCGTACTGGTGGAGAATGGTTGCCCTTGCATAATCCTGGTGGGGGCTACACAGTGGTTGAAGTGGCTGGCCATTGGTTCTGTAAACCACTTTGGGTGTCTTGAAAAGCATTGTATAAATGTAACATTAATTCATGAATGCGTGTTCCATGTTCCTCCCCAGTCATAGCTGAGATTTACATGTCAAACTGCACACGGCACGGCCGAATGACTGACCCTCTCTCCATTTCCACCAGAAAGATTTTTTTTTTCTATTTTTTTCTGTTTATTTGGTCCTGGGAAATACAGAGATACAAATGCAAACTTTTTTCTCCTAAAAGCCTGTTTTGTGGACAATGTTATTTCCCACAGCTGTGGAGCTCTGGGCAGGATAGTGGTGCATTCTGGGACTGATTAAGAGGACACCGTGTCTGTTTCTGTCTCCCATCCAAAACACAGTTTGCTTATCATTTGCACTGTGCGCTTCTAACCCACTGTAGACACATATTTAACGTTACTGTATTTTGCTTTCTGTGTATCTCATGAACTATCCAGCAGTGCCTTCATTTATGGGCTTGGCCAAATGTGAAATGAATCAGAGCGGATGGTACATAAACTAGGAATGAAGAATTTGTTTCCTAACAACTCTTTCCTAACAGCTCTTTCCTAACAACTCAACGACTCAGCTTCACTTATTTATGTGACTTATGCAATAGTCTGCAGATTTATCAGCTAATGAAAGAATGATTTTTTTGTACTTCCGCCATGCAGGCAAGCATATTTCTAACTTTTCGTAACTGTTTCTGTAGATGTGCTTGTTACTTGTTTTGCAGTCATTATCCTCTTCATCATTTTTGCTGTGTGTCAGTGTGTGAGAGTTTTCCTGCTTTTCAGGAAATGTGTGCAGACCCTGAAAAACAGAGTGTTACAGTAGATGAGAGACTCCCTGTTTGTGTGCTTTGATATATCGTATATCCTCGCATGTTACCTTGCTGTGATCAGGTAATATCCCTGGACATTTTTCTGTAAATGACAGAAACTTGTCCACCCTGTTTATGAAAATGTATCATGCATTTTGAAAGAGTTTATGAAAATGTATCATGCATTTTGTTGTCCCCTGATGGAAGCCTTGCCCACACCATACCATTGCGCTCAAGGTCAACAAAACTGCTTAATAGATGCCACCTGTCTCATTGAACACGAGAAGAGCCCTCCTGATTCGCTCATGGCCTCCACCAATGACAGACTGGCACACGGGAGCCAAGAGCCAATCGCAAGAAAAGTAAAAAAGAAACGATAAAGCCAAGGCTGTCA